ATGTAATATATATAAACTATTGTACATGCCTAATATTCATGGGGACTGGCAGTTAATGCACGATATACATAGTATGTCTTATGTAATATGGGTGTATAGTACTATTGTGGGGAATATGAATTGATAATTAATAGGCCAGTTTTACATTATATGTCTGTGTTGTGGCAATAGGGGGTTTTCACTTGTTTTTTTTTTTTTTTTTTTGTGGAAAATAAAGACATACTGGGCAAGCACAGTTGAGATCATGACCTGAGCTGAAATCTAAAGTCAGTCGCTTAACTGACTGAATCACCCAGGTGCTCCTGGAAAGCATGTTTTTAAAACTAGGGAACGGCAGATGAAAAAGTTCTAGATATTTACTGTAAAACATTGTGCTTATAGTTAACCATCCTGAACTGTACACTTAAAAATTTGTTTGAAAGGTAAAAATAAAATAAAAGATGGAAAAATGTAAGGAAGTGCAAACTTAAAGAAATTATGGGCTGGCAATTGATCAAATATAGTCAAAGAATTCTCAGAGAATATGTAGAAAGATTATTGTACCAAATATCAAGACAAAACATAAATTGATTATCATCAAGACAGTGTGATATTGGTGCAGGAATAGATAAGGAAACCAATGGAAAACTACAAAACACGGCTGAAAGAAATTAAAGACCAAATAAATGTAAAGACATCCTGTGTTCATGGATTGGAAAACTTCTGTAATTGACATGACAGTACTCCCCCCAAAGCAATCTACAGGTTGAATAAATCCCTATCAAAATTTCAGTGGCATTTTTAAAAACAGAAATGGAAAAACTGATCTTAAAACTCATGGAAATCCAAAATAGCCAAAGCTATCTTGAAGAAGGATAAAGTTGGACGATTCACACGTCTCAACTTCAAAACATACTCCAAAGGTAGAGCAATCAAAACTATGTTATGGGCATAAAGAGAAACATATAGACTAGAGAATCCACCACTAAAACCACACATCTATGATCAATTGATTTGCAACAAGGATGTCAAGACCATTCCATGGAGAAAGAATAATCTCTCAACAAAAAACAAGGGCAAAATTTTGGAGCTCTCCACTCAGGTGTTCCCTGCGTCTACCGTATCATTCTCTCTGGGCTGCATTCAGAGTAGGAGGCTGTGGGTTTCATGCAAAGAAATTTGGCTTACAAATGCAGTGAGAGGCTTATAAATGCAATGAGATGTCTTGAAGTTTTTTGAGGAGAACAGGACCACAATCTGATCTTTTCTAGTGGAAATAACTCTCATTGGAGTATATGATGGGAGGAATGAGAATAGGCTAAGACTAGAAAAGCAGGCAGTGAGTTATCACAATGGTCCAGATGGGGGAAAAAATGCTTCTAACTAGGACAATGACAATAGTTGTATACATTTAGCTAAAATTTGTTGAGGGCATACGATGTGCAGATACTGAGCATAACCTTATACAGTCCTCACATGAACCCTCAGAGCTACATCCGATTATTGTCACCATTTTACAGATGAGGGACTCAGAGCTTGGAGTTAAGTACCCAGCCTAAGATTATAGAGCTGGCCAGGGGTAGACTCAGAATTCAGACCCCAGTCTGATGCTCTTATCCATTCACTGTGCCATTTTGCTTCTCAAAATTTACAATGTATGCATATCACTTGGTGATAGTGTTAAAATATCCCTGGGTGGTATTTTAACACATATCATTTGCGGATAGTGTTAAGATTCAGATTCTTTTTTTCCCCAAGTTTTTATTTGTTTGTTTGTTTGTTTATTTTTGAGAGAGAGAGAGAGAGAGAGAGAGAGAGAGAGAGAGAGAATTCTAAGCAGGCTCCGCGCCATCTGCACAAAGTCTGATGTGGGGCTCAAACTCACAAACTGTGAGATCATGACCTGAACTGAAACCAAGAGTCGGATGCTTAATCGACTGAGCCACCCAGGCACTCCTTTTCCCCCTGCAAGTTTTAAAAGAGAAGGATTTTTTTTCAGCTGTATTGAAGTATAATTCACAAATAGAAATTGTATATTTTATCTACTGTAAGGCTCTCAAGCCCAAATATTAATTTAAGCAATAGACACCCTAAAATAAATTCCTGTTAATTTTAAAGAACATAAAATCAAATAAAAATATTTTATAGAAAGGACGTAACCTTGAGGTTTCTGATGATGAAAGGTGTACAGTTTTGCTTGTCCTTTGTTATATTAATTCATAATCCTGGAGATTCCTATAGCTAAATTTGACAATGCTCGCCAACAATTATCCTGCATTTGGAAGCTGAGGCAATCTATGTGACATACTATATAATTTCTAAAGGTAACTTATTAAACTTTTACTTTTGAGATGGAGCTTTTTGAAGGTTGGTTTTTTGCCAAAATATGGAACCAGATCACATTATTATCCCTATCCACAATCCCTTTGTCTCAAGATTTTGCACTAGGTTTCATTGGACAAAAATGTTCTAAAAACACCTTTTTTCAGCACCCCAAGGATGTACACATTCATAAGAAGATGCCTTTTGGTGGAGAAAAATTTAATCAGAAAGTAGTGTTTTTCCAAACTTAGATCATACCATGGCTGTGTGAATTTGTTTACCTGAATCAGAATCTCCTGCAGTAGGTTACAAGTACAGATTCACATGTCTTGTCCCAGGTTTACCGAATCTGAGTCATTGGCTGGGAGGCAGGGCAACTGGCTTGTTTTCGTGAGAACCCAGAGTAAATGAAAAGCACAATATTTTCAGTGAATTCATAAGTGTTTCTCCTGAATCTTCTGTATCATCCAGTTGGATCCCTCAAAGCATCTGAAAAGCCCCGCTTTAATAGTCCAACAGATGCATATCAAATATTAGGTAAGACATAATTTCAGACACATCCATGTGTTTGGGGAAGACACAACTGGTATCTGGGGGTATAGTGTAGAGCCATTTCTCACATTCTCCTTCCTGAATTTCTTATTTATAATTATAATAACTTCAGACATAAGAAGAAAAAGCCAACTGTGTTAAGGGCTTCTTGGTTCTTTCCAGAATGCTAGATCATCACCCACAGCTGAGGAGACAAGAGATTTCCAAACATCTGAAGAGTCTCACCTCCTCGATTTCCTTTTTCCCGAGGTACCTTGGTTTGAGATCTGAAGCAAGGAAGATTTCTGATGTGGTAGGAGGGTTCCTCTTGCTTTTTTGTGTTGATTGATGGTCTTAATGATTGTGAGAAAGAAGGAACTCTAGAGGGTGATAATCACCTGGTATGAAAATTCATAAATGAAAACCTCTCTAAAATGGCGTTGGGAGCTTCAGCAACGGAAGGTCTCACGAAGGCTTCACGCCCTACCACTCCTTGTCAAGTGCATATTGAACAGGAAGAAAGGGGCCTCCTTGCAACCTTCAAGGGAAATGACTTGAGCTGCTGCCCATTACTATCGCAGCAGCAGGCGGAGTGACGTTTCTGTTAAACCCCAGCAACAGCCCAGCCAATGAGACAGTCACAGCTCAGCCAATGAAAACTCACATAGTTCCAACTCCTAGGTTGTTACTTCAATGGACTTTTTTGTCTATAACAGCCGTCCCAACTGCCCCTTTTCCTCTATAAAAGAGCGTTCCTCTCCTTCGTTCTCCAGACTTGGCTATGGTTTTGCTATAGCTTTCTTGTCCTGAATTGCAATTCTCTGCTATTCCTGAATTAATCCATCTTTTGCTGATCAAATAACTGGCAGTTTTATTTTTTAAGGTTAACATCGGTGATCAATAACCTGCTAACAGCTAATGAATGTCAGGTTCATCCTTGGTCGTTCCTCTGTGTTTTCTATTTATTCTATCCATCCTTGTCATGCCCCTGTGTAGCGATACCCCAGCAGACTCTAAGCCAAAGGTGGGCTATGGTCAGGCGGAGCTGAAGAAAACACCCAGAGACAGAGGCTGAGACTTAGGTTTATTGGAGGAAGTTGCTTACAGGGTATCCAGGAGCAGAGGACTCGACAAACCTGCTTCTGATCTAGGTGCAGCAAACTTTTATAGCGTAGCAACTTAGCCTTGCAACTCTCTTTAGCCTTTTCCCTCCTTGCATGGCCAGTGACCCAAGGAGGTCAAGGCCTGCCATCTGGACACTCTTCCTTACAAGGGAGACACTCTGGGTTGACCACCCCCTGGAGTCCCTGGCCTTGAGCACTGAACATGTTTTTCTGCACATTCTGCTTGATGGGAATATAGAGGGAGGACACGATCTCTGCATTCTCAAGATAGTGATTAACAGGGTCATTGGGGATGTGCTGGTACAAACCAGCCTTCCAGCACGTATCCTATCATACAACTTCTGGTTAGTTAACTCATCCTATTAATTCCCACTATGTTTCACAATCTTTTTGCTTGCTCATGTTCTTATGAATTTTGACCACTTACTTCTTTTCTTGTATTTATAGCCAAACTGAATATTCTCAAATTATATGGCCAACACACATCATAAAAAGTTATTAAATTGTATCAGAATTATCTGAAAACTTGGGTGTTAGAGCTGTATGGAATAATGGCATTAAAATTCTGACATAATGTTAGTTTAATCATTTCCCTCATGTATTCAGGCTAACTAGAATTCATTGTGAAGGGCAAAAAAGGAGATTAAGAAAAATTTATAATCTTAAAGCATTATTAACCTTAGACACCCTCTAAACACATGAGAATCAACAACAAAACAAGATAAGGATTATAATAAAAAACATACAGATCCCCTCTAAAGAATTGTTAGAGGGGCGACTGCATGGTTCAGTCAGTTAAGTGTCCAGCTTCTGGCGCAGGTCATTATCTCACAGCCCTTGGGTTCGAGCCCCGCGTGGGGCTCTGTGCTGACAGTTCAGAACCTGGAGCCTGCTTCAGATTCTGTGTCTTCCTCTCTCTCTGCCCCTCTCCCACTCATTCTCTCACTCTCTCTGTCTCTCTCTCAAAAATAAATAAACATTAAGAAAAAAGAATTGTGAGCATATGTACTAAAAAGAGGTAAATGCAAATAAATGTTAGAAGGTCAATATATTACCAAAATGTATTCTTTGGCCTAAATTTCATACTGGAATATAAAATCTGGAAGTAAAACCCCAAATTATCACAAAACATTGGGAAAATATGGTAAGGGAATACAGATTGTCTATTCATTTTTTTGTTGATGGTTGGAGTGTAACCACCACGTGATTCACCAGGGTTCTCTGCTTGGAGCCTCACCAAGTTCAATTCAAGTTGTCAGAAGGGCTGTTTCTTCTGGAGGCTTTTCGGGAGACCCTGTCTGCAGGCTGATTCGGGATGTTGGTAGCATTTGATTTCATGTAGTTGTAGGACTGAAGTCTGTTTCCTTTGCTGGCTGTCGGCTGGAGATCACTAGAAGCCTTCCAGAGTCCTTCCTTCATGGACCCTTTCCAGGACAATGATGGCAGGTGGACTTCCTCACCAACCTCTGATCTTACTGACATCCCCTTCTGAAGCAATCCCTCTTTTGCTTCCAGCCAGAAATAATTCTCCACTCTAAGGATTTATGTAATTAGACTGGGTCACTCAGAAAATCCAGGTTAATCTCCCTGTTTTAAAGTCCTTGATTTTAATTCTATCTGTAACATCCTTTCACAGTGATACCTAGATTAATGTTTGATTGAATACATTGCAAAAAAGGATTCATTTCTGCTACAGAAATGAATTAGCTATGGATAACAGAAAAATGTAAGACAACCCATTTTGACAATTTACCGATATGCAGAACAGATTTAAGAATAGCAGACTTGAGGAGCATTCTGAGTGGCTCAGTCGGTTGAGCATCCAACTCTTGTTTTCCGCTCAGGTCATGATCTCATGGTTTGTGAGTTCGAGTCCCATGTCTGGCCTGCGCTAACAGTGCAGAACCTGCTTGGGATTCTCTTTCTCCCTCTTTCTTTCTCTCTGCCCCATCCCTCTGCTCGCTCGCTCTCTCTCAAAATAAATAGTAAAAAAAACCAGACTTGAGACTGCCATACTAAGAAAGGCCTGCTTGCTAGCATCTGAGAATTTGGATTTCGGGAGAGTTCTTATGACTCTGATGACAGAGGCTCACTATGCCAAAACTTTTTTTTGCAAACACTATGCTGTATGTTAAACACTTGTTTTCCTTCGGAGAATGTGGGATTTTGGTAGGTGGTAGGCAGAGAATGTCCCCGATAAATACCCTGAACACGGAGTCTATAATGACCTTCCTTGGTAGACAACATTTTGCATGTCGCCACCCACTTATTGCTGGAGGAATTAAGCACGTCTTGTGTGCCTCCACTGGGAGAGAACCCTTGGAAGCTTCCACCTGGTTTCCTTTGTACTCTGCCCCATGCGCCTTCCCATTCACTCTGTATCCTTTGCTATAATAAATCATAGAGTGATATGACTATGTGCTGAGTCCTCCTAGCAAATGATCAAAACTGGGGATGGTTTTGGAGACCTTGACACAGAGGTAATATTGTAAACTTTAAAACAAATAAAAATAGAATAAAATGTCCAATGAATGAAATATATAGGAGCTTCTCAACTGCTAGAGAATTAACTGCACAGAAAAACAAAAGAAAAAAAAAAAAGGAAACAATTAAAGGAAACTTGGGTTTGAAAAGAAAGAGAAATCACTATAAGTAAGAACATAAAATACTATAGCGGGAATTAAAAATGATCACTAATTCTAAAAAACTTTGCACAAATAATTTAGGCACAGGGAACCATTCTTCTCAGTTACTCCCTATTAAATTGTTTCACAATTGCAGTGTTTACCAGTAGATTGTCTTTAAATGTTTATTTATTTATTTTTGAGAGAGGGGTGCATGGGTGGCTGGTTAAGCCTCCCACTCAGCTCAGGTTATGACCTCATGGTTCATAAGTTTGAGCCCTGTGTGGGGCTCTGTGCTGACAGCTCAGAGCCTGGACCCTGCTTCAGATTCTGTGTCTCCCTCTCGCTCTCTCTCTGCGCCTCCCCTGCTTGCACTCTGTCTCTGTCTCTGTCTCTGTCTCTCTCTCAAAAATAAATAAACATAAAAAAAAGGACATCCTTATTTATTTTTGAGAGAGAGAGAGAGAGGGAGAGAGAGCGTGAGCAGGGGAGGGGCAAAGAGAGAGGGAGACACAGAATTGGAAACAGGCTCCAGGCTCCGAGCCATCAGCCCAGAGCCTGACGCGAGGCTCGAACTCACGGACCGTGAGATCGTGACCTGGCTGAAGTCGGACGCTTAACCGACTGCGCCACCCAGGCGCCCCTCACTTAGTACTTTGAATATATCATCTGCCTCTTTCCTGGCCTGGAAGGCTTCCTTGGAAAAGTATATAAAACCTGAATTCACTGCACTCAGGTTTGAGGAAAATATATGTACTTTTGTACACTATGTACCTTGTTTATATATATATATGTGTGTGTGTGTATATATATATATATATGTACGCTATTAGCTTTGGCTAGACTGCTTACGTTTGTTATCCCTTTTAATAGTCACAATAAACTTACAAGGAAAATAGTATTATTACCTCCTTTTTACAGAGTATGAATATGAGCCTTAGCTTGTTTAACTAATTTTCCCAAACTTGTGTAAATTGAGAGCAGAGAAACTCTCTTAAGCAGTAGAAGCTCTTAAGCAGTAGATTCTGATGCCTTCTAGAACAATACTAGATGCTTCTACTGGAATGATTTAAAAGATAAACATATGGGATGCCTGGGTGGATTAGTCGGTTAAGCATCTGACTTCGGCTCAGGTCATGATCTCACAGCTCATGGGTTTGAACCCCGTGTCAGGCTCTGTGCTGATGGCTCAGAGCCTGGAGCCTGCTTCCGATTCTGTCTCCCTCTCTCTCTGACCCTCCCCCGTTCATGCTCTGTCTCTCTCTGTCTCAAAAATAAATAAACACTAAAAAAAATGCTTAGCTGGAACTTTCTGGTGCATGGGTGGCTCAGTCGGTTAAGCCTCCGACTTCGGCTCAGGTCATGATCTCACGGTCTGTGAGTTCGAGCCCCGCGTCGGGCTCTGTGCTGACGGCTCAGAGCCTGGAGCCTGTTTCAGATTCTGTGTCTCCCTCTCTCTCTGACCCTCCCCCGTTCATGCTCTGTCTCTCTCTGTCTCAAAAATAGATAAACATTAAAAAAAATGCTTAGCTGGAACTTTGGGGTGCATGGGTGGCTCAGTCGGTTAAACATCTGACCTCAGCTCAGGTCGTGATCTCATCGTTTGGGAGTTCAAGCCCCACATCAGGCTTGTGCTGACTGTGTGGAGCCTGCTTGGGATTCTCTCTCTCCCTCTCTCTCTGACCCTCCCTCGTTCTCTCTCTCTCTCTCTCTCTCTCAAAATAAATAAACTCTAAAAAACAAAACAAAAACAGGATGGAAAAAATTATTTTAAAAATGCTTAGCTGGAACTTCTGAGTACTAGAATGAATATATATACTTATACATAAAATTATATATATGGCACAAGGGGACAAAATATACGAATATAAATGTTTCTTTTCTAAGAAATCTCAGCATGAAAAAAACATTATTCTCCCGTGTTATAAGTAAATACTTTTAAGGCTTGACCTGGCTAAACTAACTAAAACATTAATTTATGGACAAATCAATAAAGACAGATTTTTAGATTTCCTTGATGCCAAGAAAGATGGCTTTCTAGAGGTCCCTGTCTCCTCCTGGGGATGTTTGTTTCTGGGCAAGTCACTTTATTATCCCTGCTGCTGATTCTTCCAGCCAAAGTCAGAGAAAAGAAGAAATAATCATCTTTTGATTTCAAACGTATATGACTTAGGCTGTTCCACATATTAGCTGGACACCCAAAAATCAGCTGGTGCCAATAATTTCCTACAATTTAGCATGTACTGGAAATGTCATGTGCCATGCTAGCCTCCCAGATGGTCTCAACAGGCCTCATGCAGACACCGTCTGTTATCAAATAGCACTTTTTGTGTGATATGCCTTTCGGAGAGTCAGTGTTTGGGAAATCTGGAGAGTTGCAGCTTTTAGGTGGTTGACATTGAGAGGGTGCCACATGCCCTATCTAAATCAGTAGGAAAATGAAGACAGCTGAGTGTGGGATGCCGTATAAAATCACGTAAGGCCGCACGACTTCCTGTTTCCTGAGAAGTCCTGGCTGGGGGTCTGTCCAGATGAAGGTCTCTATGGCTTTAGGAGTCTGGTCGCTCCTTGCTGCCTTGATTTGGCCTTGCACTGAGAGCATCTATGGTAGAGGCCAGTTCTAAAGAACACTTTCTTGGAGGAGTTATGGTCGCTTTCCATGCAGGAACTCTCCTCCCGAAGAGTTCAGATCTTAACAAGCAGCTGGAAGGGAAGTGCTTTCGGGCCGAGGAGACTTGAGTCAATATACTGAGGCCATCTGGAGTGGGGGACTCAGGACGTCAGGGCCCTCTGGGGTAAGGGGATGCAGGGCATTGGGGCCATCTAGGATAGAGGGGCACATGGCATTGGGGCACCTGGGGTGGGGAGCACAGGGCGTTGGGGTCATCTGGGGTGAGGAAGCAGGGCATTGAGGCCTGGCTGAGATCTATGATGCTCAGGTGCAAGGAAGATTCTAGCTACTTCAGCCAATTTGTGTGGCAGCTACATGTGTTCCTCGGGCTTTCCCTCAGATTTCTCAGATACTAGAGGCACGACTTCATAATGTCAGACTGACTAAGATTAGTATGAGAAAAACAAGTGACAACAGAAGCCTGGACTCCCTGTATGTCCATATCCACTTATCCTGTTGAATCCAACTTTAAACTGTCGCAATCTTTTTTCCTTTATGAAGGATCCTTCTGATACTCTTATCTAGGTGACAGTAGGATAATATTTCCAACCCATGGAGCGATTTGGAGGTGACAGTCACTAATGTAGAACACCTGCTTTCTCCAATGCCACTTTCCCCACAAACCATCTCCCTGAATTTTCTTACTTTCTTGATGGTTTATCTGTAAAGAGCCAGAACTTACTGGCTTACGAAGTGTTGGAATCTCTTGCTCATTACATATGAATATTTTTTCACCCTGGGAAGACTTAGGTCCTCCAAAGTGTTTAAGAATATCCTGAATGTATTCCAAGGTCTACTGCTCCCTATTACTGTTTGGGGAAGCTTTCCTCTCAAGGTTTGAACCTCTAGCCATTCTCTTCATTGTGTGATCCGACTTTCTATTATTACTTTGTAATGGGAAAGTAATGGGAAGAGGAATGGGAAAGCCCCAGTGCTTTAGGAAAGAAGATAATAAGTAGACAGCCCCTTGACACAGGACTGGCTTGCTCAGAGTCATGGTAGACTTATTTGTGAAAAGTATGAAGTGAGAAGTAATAAATATTGATGGCAGATGGTCATTTTTAAAGTCGTTTGTTTGACTATTTCTTCCAACGACTACCTGTTGTCAATTCCTAAATTGATGCAAGAGTCACCTGGGAGGTAATTTAATGAGCTTTTGCTGTGGGAAGATCATCCTCCAGCTCTTAATATTTCTACAGCTACCATAGAGGGGCAGTTTACTCAGCACATCTGTGAAGAGTACAGGGTCCAAGTCAATCAGGTGTATGCTTTGTGCTTCACGGCACAGGTAATTTAATTTTTAGATGATGTGCAGACTGCCATTATCATATGTGGCGTGTGGTATATTATTGAGATCGGTATAAATAATGGAAAACACCCATGACAGGTGATCCTAATTGCTTTAGGAAGGAAAATCTTCCTAACAATTTTCCTGACCACAGATCTGCTCACATATGCCTTCCAAAGGCAGCCTTTAAGCAAGGCTTTCGACTTGGAGCCCTTATCAATTTACTCATCACTTTATGTCCTTTCTGCAGGAGACAATAGCCACTTATGACACCTGAGTATTAGTGAGCATACTCCTATTGTTGCTTTAGTTTATTTAAACATTTTTTTCTTTAACGTTTATTTATTTTTTGAGAGACAGAGAGAGAGCATGAGCAGGGGAGGGACAGAGAGAGAGACAGAGGGAGTCACAGAATACGAAGCAGGCTCCAGGCTCTGAGCTGTCAGCACAGAGCCCAATGCGGGGCTTGAACCCATGATCTGTGAGATCAGACCTGAGCTGAAGTTGGACACTTAACCAACTGAGCCACCCAGGTACCCCAATTTTTTAAATTTTTCTTCTGCCTTTAGAGACAGGCTGGTGGGGGACAGGAGGCATTGATCGGACTTCAGCGGTGACTGAACTACTTATTTTTGGAATAAGAGGTCACTACTTTATTTACTTCCAGGTTCTGTTAGGCTCCAAAGCATGTAAGTGCTTTGGTTGTGGCTCTATTTAGAACACCTACAGCTCCCAGGAGACCTCGGGAGTATGGGAAATTTGTCTTAAATGTCATCCCAAACCACTGTAGCTTAACTTTCCAGTTACTGGCTAGCATTGCCACCTTGTGTGCACATTCACTTGAACCAGTCCAGCCCAGTCCACTAACTGGACTGAGGCTCTGAGTACACTCTGTCAAACTGCCAGAACTTTTGTTCATCCTGAGTGTGAATCTTCCCATTCGGTGGCCTTCACTGACTCGTGAATAAATTGCATTGCAGTGTTAACCAGTTTTCTCAAAATCTAATAATTGGGTAGCTATAGAATTCAAGCCCTATCCAGCCAGCTGTAAGAAGGTTACCTTCCTATAGGTTATGGCCAGTCAGACTTTCACTCTCTCCCGCCCCTTCCCTTTGTTAAACAGTAAGGGGGAGGTTCTGTAATTTCTGCTCATCTGGAAGTTCTGCGTGCAGGTGGTACTATCAACAAGGGCTACAATTCAAACTATGTATATTCAACATTCCCTGGGTTCTGTGCAGCTGTGAATATAAAGATAATTACGAAATGGAATCCAAGTTCAAAGTACTTATCCTAGCTTGGATGACAGGTTGTGTTAGAGCAACTTATATCAGCGTCGAAATAGGAAGATAAGATTTAAACCCGGTTACTTCCACTTTTGCAAAACATGAGGAGGCTGTATCTGATGAGATGTGGGGTCATGTTCTGGGTTATGAGTCTCATGCCTTAAGTGTGGGGCAGGTACTGGCTACCGAAGAATAGTCTCTGTTTGGAAAAAAAATCTTTTATAAAAAATGGTTATCTGTCATTTCAACTTTGTATCATCATTAGATATACAAGGTTTGTGTTGTGACTTGCTTCTTTCTCATAACTATTTTCAGATTGATACTTTATAATTATATTTGCCATGTTACCTAGAAGTTGATTATATAAATACATTATAATTTCTTCATTTGGCTGTTGGTCATTTGGCCTGAAGTATTTTGTTCATTTACATTTATTATTGTTGACATATACTTGCAGTTCATTTATTGCAATCATCTTATTGCTTACTTTTTTTTGTTTGTTTGTTTATTTTATTTATTTAGAGAGAGTGAGTGAGAGAGCACATGGGAGGGGCAGAGAGAAAGGGAGACAGAGAATCCCAAGCAGGCTGCGCACTGTCAGTGCAGAGCCCAATGTAGGGCTCGAACTCACAACTGTGAGATCATGACCTGAGTCAAAAGCAAGAGTTAGACACTTAACTGACTGAGCCACCCAGGATCCCCCTATGGCTTAATTTTTGTCCTTTTTGTTTGTTTGTTTGCTTTGATGTTTTGTCTCTTCCCCTAAGGCTTTTTTGCCTTCTTCTAAATTGTTTCAATTTGTTTTTCTCCATTCTCTTTTGTTCTCCACTTTGGAAGTTTTGTAACCTGTTTCATTAGTTTTTCCCCCCTACCACTAATCATGACTCTTTAAAGCCAATAAATCTGTGTTTTCTTTCTGAACATTAGTAGGATCCATGCAGTTCAACTCTGATCACCGCTCTGAGAAGCTCTGGTTACTGTCCACCTTTACTTCTTCCATGGGATAAATGAGTCCATTAGAAATAGTGATTATCCCTGACTGACTGAAGATTTCAATGTAAAGGATAAGAATAGGTTTTACATGGAAACCTTCACAGAACTGCCGTCCCAGGCAGCGGATTTTCTCTCTTCAGAGTCTTTCCTCTGTGGCTCTGACTGTCTTTGGTAGGGACTGTTCCAGATCAGGATTCTACTCTCCCACCCTTTCCCCTTCTCCCTCTCCAAAGAGCATTCCTGGGAATACATCTCTCCTCTTCGAATGCATTGCAATTTACTTCTGTGCCTTTTGTGTGGTCCCAGATACATCACCCTCTTTAGAATATAATCTCTTTTAGAGGAGGCAGGGGACTAGAAGATTATGATTTTCTTATGTGTTGATCTTCTTCCCTGTGAAATAAATGAAGCCTAGTTATTTGAGGATAATATGCAGATATTTTGGAAAAACCGGTAATGTGAAAACCCTTTATATGTTATTCTATAAGCCTTGATTACCTTTGCCGGAGAAAGACATACCTTTTATTTACCACAAAGGGCAGAGCTGAATATTCTTTGGGCTCTTCCCGGATGTATATACACATCTGACACTTTCTTATATGATTCTTTCTGTAGTGACAGTAAGTTGTTCAATGGACTGGGTGATGATCTTGGTTAGCCCATGTGGGCACAACAGCGATCTGTATATATTTGCTGATGAATTGCACCTGGGATCAGGTTGCCCTATGACTTGGATTCAGACCTCTGCATATGATTTTATATACCCTGTACATGACCGTGGGATCAAGACAAAGGTGAGTACAGTATTATTTATAAAAATAACTTCTTAAAAAAAATTTTTTTTAACATTTATTTTTGAGAGATAAAGTGCAGGCAGGGGAGGGGCAATGAGAGAGGGAGACACAGAATCCGTAGCAGGCTCCAGGCTCTGAGCTGTCATCACAGAGCCCAATGTGGAACTCGAACCTATGAACCGTGAGGTCGTGACCTAAGCCCAAGTGGGATGCTTAACCAACCAAACTACCCAGGTGCCCCTAAAAATAACTTTGAAGTAGTGTTTTAGATCTTTATACCTGGCTCTAAAATTATTGTCTTTTTTTTGTTTGTTTGTTTTAAGGATTACATTTTGCTTCTAGTTATCGTTATTTATGGGCAGATGACAACATGGTCCCTTCCTTATCATTCACTGAACATTGGGCCATCCATGTGCACAGGACCCAAGAGCACAGGTTTCCTGACTGACTGGTTAGGAAACCGATTTTAAATTGTCCTTCAGCTCCTCTTGTATTTCACCAAAGCTTAGCAGACAGTTTTAAGTTTCATTCGATGCTCCAAAGGGGAAGAGTCACAAATCCTGCGAAGGTTTATCCTATTCATTGGATCATTTGAACTGCCCTGAGGCAGTATTTTCACTGAAGAAGTATTTTCACTACAGAGAGAGACAGAGCACATGTTGGGGGAGGGGCAGAGAGAGGAGACACAGAATCCGAAGCAGGCTCCGGGCTCTGAGCCATCAGCACAGAGCCTGACGCAGGGCTCGAACCCACGAGCTGTGAGATCATGACCTGAGCCGCCTGAGCCGAAGTCTGACGCTCAACCGACTGAGCCACCCAGGCGCCCCTAGGCATAAATCTTAAACAAAATACAAACGTATGTATGCCTCCCCTGTTACGAGAATTACCTTCTGCTTAAATATTGTGCTCCTCTAGGTTGTTTCGGAGGATACCCTCCTTTTTCAAACAGAGATGTTCTTTAACCCTAGGATTGTGCATTGTGAGAGCCAGAAAATCCCTTTGGAATGTTCTGCCTCTAGGTCAGTCCAATAGACCAGACTCCTTTGGAAAGCATCCATCTTACCTTTACCAAATCAGATGCTTCTGCAAAGCATAGACTTTAGATTTGACTCACCCGTAAGCATATTTCCAAACAAGCATGAAATTGACATTTATCATAATATGGAGTATTTTTATTTTTTAATGTAATATTTATTTTAGAATCAAAACATATGCAATCTAGTGTAACTAGGTTATTTTACGGTAACTGAACTGCAAAGCAGAATCATTAGATACCCAGTCGCCTTAATAAGTGGAAGAGTCAAACCTGATGCTATTTTTTAATGTCTTCTCCTTTATAATTCCCTAATACATCTCATGGCTTAATTCCATGTGAATACAGTGACTGACTAAAAAGAGAAAACTAGTCCTTCATTTTAATACTAACTCATGGAAATGCATGAAAGGAAAGGTTTATCAGCCTAATCATTAGATGCACTTTGCTTGCAGTTTTGTGGAACTGAGATGCTGAATCCCAAAGGGACCCCACATAAACTTTGAGACCAAGTGGAATGGTGAATACTGAAACACTTTACCATGTCATTGTAATATTCACATTGAGTTTTACGAGTTACAAATCTTGGAAAAGATTTCATCCTTGTTTGATATATGGAAATAGTTGACATAAAAAAAGAAGGTAGAGCTCAGAGCAAGTGTATAGTATCTTATAACATTATCAGAATCCTTTTTGTGGGGGGGGGAATTTTTTTTTTAATTTTTTAATGTTTCATTTTTTGTTTGTTTTTGAGAGACAGACAGAGTGCAAGTCGGGGAGGGGCAGAGATAGAGGGAGACACAGAATCCGAAGCAAGATCCAGGCTCTGAGCTGTCAGCACAGAGTCTGATGCAGGGCTCAAACCCACGAACAATGAGATCATGACCTGAGCTGAAGTCTGGTGCTTAACCGACTGCCACCCAGGTGCCCGAGAATTGGTATTTTTTATTGTGGTAAAATATACATAAGATAAAATTTGTAACCATTTTTTATAAATTTTATTTTTTAAAATTTGCATCCAAATTAGCATAGAAAATTTATAACCATTTTTAAGTGTACATTACATACATTCTTATTGTTAAATACTTTGATCTTCTTTTAACTTATTTTCATAAGGCAAATAGAAGGCTGAGGAATTTAGCAATACTCTGGGGAGTAGCTGACACTAACACTGGATTCTGTAGACACACACACACACACACACACACACACACACACACACATTTTCATTCCTATATATTAGCCGATGCTTCCAGTAATATAAAACACTCTGAAATAATGCCCTGGAGCTATTGCCTCTCTCTAGGCCACCAGATTAATTATGATGACTACAGCATTTCTACTTCGATAGTAATTTTGATGTTGTTTGCAGCTTATCTTCCTTAGAAAAAAAATGAAAACAAGGCCAACAGATATATGATTAGGTTACTGGTGCATAAATGTTACTGCTGCACACGCACGCGCGCGCGCACACACACACACACACACACACATATCCTTTACTACCACTGCATGGGGTCAGATTAATCTTTTGACAGCTTTTACTTACTGTTTTTAGGAATCCACTTGTCTCAATCCACTGGGCACTTTGGTACTTTACTGAAGCAAGCATTACAAATCATCAGTTATGCAGAAGGTCTATGACGATTGTACCAATTTTACAGATGAGAAAAGAAACATAGGTTAAATCATTTGCCAGCTTCTCTTAAAATTGGTGATCTTTTCCTAGTCTTAGAGGCAAAGCTTTCAGCTTCTCACAATTGGGTATTGTGTTCATTATGGGCTTGTCTGATACAGGCTTTACTATGTGAAGGGGAAATCCTTCTGTACCTAATCAGTTGACAGTTTTAATCATGAAAAGATGTTAAATTTTGTCAAACATCACCACTTCTATTCATAATATTGGAAATCCTAGCCAGAAAAGTTAGGCAAGAAAAAAAAAAAGCATCCGAATTGGAAAGGAAGAAGTCAAATTATTTGTTTGCAGATGACCTAATCTAATATATGTATAAAACCAAAAAAGACTCCACCGGAAAACTGCTAGAGTAATAAGCAAATTCAGTAGAATTGCAGGATAAAAAAAAAATCAACATGCAGAAACGAGTTGCATTTCTACACACAAACAAGGAACTGTATGAAAAAAAAATCTAAAAAATCCCATGTATAATATCAAAATTAACAAAACACGTATGAATACATTTAACCAAGGAGGTAAAAGATCTGCACACTGAAAAGTATAAAACCTTGATGAAAAGAATTGGAGAAAACACCAAATAATATCCTGAGTCAATGAGCTAGAAGAATTCTGTCAAGATATCGAACTCCCAAAAATGATCTACAGATTCAATGTAATCCCTATCAAAATTCCAGTGACATTTTTCACAGAAGTTAAAAAAAATCCTAAAATTCATATGGAACTAAAAAGACTGAATAGTTTAAGAAATCTTAAGAGCAAAGCTGGAGGCATCACACTTCCTGATTTTGAATTACATTACAAAGCTATAATAATCCAAACAGTACAGTACTGGCATAAAAACAGATATATAGAACAATGGAATGGTATAGAGAGCCCAGATATAAACCCTCACCTATATAATCAACTAATCTTCAATGAAGATGCTTATTAGAAGGTGGAGGAGGGTCAGTAAAGTATCCTCCAGCCTGTGAGAGCACTTCAAGACCAAAAAATGAAGGAAGCCAGTCTATGCTATTTACATAGAGTTTTAGTCAGGGTTACTTACCGACAGGGAGGATGGCGGCAGGCAGGTGGTTATCCAGATAGTACACAGCTATTCTCCACCCCCATTCTCTGCTGCTATTCTCTGCCGAGGCCAGACCAAGCTTTTATGGAAAGAGGGACAAAGTGGTGAGGTGACAGGATAGTTACCTAAAGTGAGACTTTCTGTATACGAGTCCTCTCTACTAGTTACCTAAAGTGGAGTCTTCTGGATGTCACTTTAGGGACCATCAAAACAAGCCTTCTTGCATTCCAGTCTAGGCACACATTAACCTTCTCTCCATGTGGAACACATAGCCCCAATGGAGGTAATTGCTCAGGCATGAACAAGATGGAAGAACAAAGATGGAGTCAGTGATGGCGGCACTCCTACATTGCCAAAAATACACAATGGGGGGAGTATAGTCCCTTCAATAAATGGCTTTGGGAAAACTAGATTTGCACACACACACACACACACACACACACACACACACACACAGAAATTGGATTCTTATCTTACAGCCAAAAACTAACACAAAATGGATTAAAGACATTAAAAACTTGAGGCTGTAAAACTCCTAGAAGAAAACATAGGAGGAAAACTTCATGACATTGGTCTTGGCAATGAATTGGACACAACACCAAATGCACAGGCAACAAAAGCAAGAACAAGTAGATTACCTCAAACTAAAAATTTTCTGTACAGCAAAAGAAACAAAATAAAAGGCAACCTATGGAATGGGAGAAAATATTTGCAAAGCATACATCTAACAAGGGATTACTAACCAAAATATATAAGGAACTCCTACAACTCAATGGCAAGAAAACAACCAGATTAAAAATTGGGCAAAGGACCTGAACAGACATTTCTCAAAATAAGACATACAAAGGGCTAACAGGTATGTGGGAAGGTGCTCAACATCACTGATCATAAGGGAAATGCAACTCCAGACCCTGAGATATCACCTCACATCTGTTAGGCTATTATCAAAAAATCAAAAAATAACAAGTGTTAGCTAGAGTGTGGAGAAAAAGAGACCCTTATGCACTGCTGCTGGAAGTGTTACATTGGTACAGCTGCTATGGAAAACAATATGGAGCTTCCTCAAAAAAATTAGAAATGGGTCTCCCACGTGATCCTGCACTCCCATGTCTGGGCATATATCCAAAGGAAGTGAAATCAGCATCTCAAAGACATATCTGCACCCCCATGTCCACTGCAGCACTATTCACAACAGCCAAGATATGTAAACAAGCTAAACATCCATTGAGGGATAACTGGATAAAAATGTGTGTGTTATACATGACATATTATGCATATATTATGAATATAGATATTAGCCATGAAAAGAAGGAAATCTTGCCATTTGTGACAACATGGATGAACCTGAAGGGCATTATGGTGAGAATATCAGACAAAGAAAGACAAGTATTGCATGATTTCACTCACATGTGAAATCTAAAATAACGTAACTCATAGAAACAGAAACAGTGGGGAAGAAGTGGGAAGATGTTGGTCAAAGGATATGAATTTTCAGTTGTAAGATGAAGAAGTTCTGGAAACAATATACAGCATGGTGACCGTAGTAAATATGTATGGTGTACTTGAAATCATCTAAGAGAGTAGATATTAAGAATTCTCATCACAGGGGTGCCTGAATGAGTTAGTCAGTTAAGGGTCCAACTCTTGCTTTTGGCCCAGGTCATGATCTCACGGTTCGTGCGTTTGAGCCCCACGTTGGGCTCTGTGCTGACAGTGGGGGGCCTGCTTGGGATTCTCTCTCTCCCTCTCTTTCTCTCTCTGCCCACCCCCCCTGCTTACTCTCTCTCTCAAAATAAATAAATTAAAAAAAGTATTCTCACAAAAAAAGGTAACTATGTGTGTTGATGGATTTAATATAAAAATTAGCCTGATTGTCAAGCTATTTCATAATATATATGTATTTCAAAACATCACATTGGATACTTTAAATATACACATCTTTTTATTGGCTAATTATACCTCAAAAAGGCTGGAAAAAATAAAATATAAAATTAGAAAAATAAAAAAAAACAATAAAAACAAAAAGTAGGTGATTTGGATCTCGGTCTGTCTGCCATTAACCACTACCCCGTGCTGCCTCAAATAGTTTTATTTTATTTTATTATTTATTTAATATAATTTATTGTCACATTAGCTTACATACAACACCCAATGCTCATACCAACAAGTGCCCGCCTCAATGCCCACTCAAATCATTTTAAATTGCTGACTTTTAGTTCTCTAGAAAACTACTAAAG